TTTTTCTTTTTGCCTGAGAGTGTAGATATAAAAATTAAACAAAAATTACTATTCTAGCATGCCATGATAGAAGACAAAGTGGATGAAGATATTGCATCAAATCCCAGTTTGTTTGGAGGGGGAAGAAAAATTTTAATCAATCCGTTCTCCCAAAAAAATGAGGTTAAAATTTTTTAATGTGAAAAATGCAAGAGAGATAGAGTAAGAAATATTAATTACAAATTTCCAATCCCATCTCTTTTATGTTTTAAAATCAAATTTAATATTTTTTTCTTTCTTCTCCTCCTTCTAAAAATAAAATTTTCAATTGATTTCCATATTAAGATCGGAGTTAAGAGCAGTCACACACACTGTATCGTATATTTCCTTGGACCCAAAGCACAAGACCTTTTCTATTAATAACTCACGTTGGTTGAGAATGTAGGACACTCTGCAAAAGGTCAATGACATTAATATCTTCTTTTTCACAGATGTTCCTATTAATTAGATCGTAGATTGAGATCGTATAAGAAAAAAAAAAGTAAAGATAGACTGATAACAACAAAGTCTGTTTAATGAATAAAGATTTCACTCAAACCCTATAAAATGGTGGGATTAGATTATTAATAAGTTATCTATAAATATTTTTTAAATTTAAAAGCATGCCTTTTTAAAGAATTTTTAAACCCATTTCACCTAAATTTTTTATTATAAAAAAAGATAGATTGACAATTTAAATTGTTTTATATTTGGGAGAATGACATATAGATCCAAAGAAGACCAGTTAACTCAAAGCAAGTCCTAAAATATCAAATTTTAAGAATTTATAAATTTTATTTTTAATTTTATAATTTTATTATGATAAATTTATAACTTATATTTTAAATTTTAAGAAAAAAATACATTTACTTATTCTTTTAATTATGTTAATATTTAAAAAATAAATTATAAATTTATCATAATAAAATTATAAAATTAAGAGTTAAATTTATGAATGCTTAAAACTTAATATTTTAAGAGACTTACTTTAAATTAATTCATTCCTTTAAACCCATCTGTCCTTTCTCCCTTCATATTTTGAACGGTAGAAAGTAGAAAGAATGTGGGAGCATGGCTTTTGGCTTTGGACACATGAGGTGGCATTAGCAAAAACGAGACAGGTTGGCGCGTGGAGTGGTGAAGCGGAAGGTGAGGAATGATTGGAGGGCATGGAGGACGTTGATCTCTACGTCCTCACACCTTTAGACTGCGGTCACGTGCACCTTCGGACTTCCCCTCCCCGTGTGACTCCCTTCCCAAACTACCCCCCTATTCTCTTCTATTTACTACGTGCCACTATGTACATCAAAGTCTCCCTTTGCTTAACCAGTGCCCTTTAATTCCGATGTTAGCATGGTATGGAGTTACGTACATGCTGGGCTTTGCCATCTTTTCCAGCTCAATTTTAATTAATCAGTCTAACATGATTTTCTTTTATTTTTGCCGAAAGAGTCTAAACATGAATTTTAAATATCTGAGTGAATTGATATCGAAAAAAATATGATGTAAAAATAAATTGTCTTTTTTTACAATAATTATTATACCCCCTTATTATATGATTCAACATTTTAGATTGATGTTAATAAATCATATTTAATTATATTCACTATTTAAAAATTATATATTTTTTTGATTTTTATTGTATTGCGAATTTTGTAAATGTTTTTTGTCAAAAAAATTTGATGCAATTTAAACAACATGATCTCAAATTAATTTCAAGCTAAACTCGCTAATAGGTTACCTATAACGTTATTATTCTCACTTGGGGGCATTACTTCCCAACGTTTATGCTATGTAGCTATAACGTTATAACACACACACACACATCTGGTGACTAATTGGTGCTTGCATGATCAGCTGGCCACGTTCGTGCAATTACTCGAAATACTAGGATAAAAACAATTCACATGTTTTTTGAATAGACTACTAATTAATTAATCATCTTATTACTTCTGTATATAACACTACAAAATAAAGATGGAATCAAAAAATGTGGGAGCGATATGATCCATTTGTATTCATCTTCTTCCTGGTCTCCTTGATTCCATCCAATATCCATCTTCAAAGACCAACCATTGCCAATAGTATTTTCTTTCTCTTCAATTATTTGTTTTTTCTACAGATGACTACAATATGACTCTTTTTATTCTCTTTTAAAAACCACATGGGTCTTGCATCCAGGCGAACATCTTGAATCAAGCAGGGAACTACTGAATATCGGTTTTAAATTAACGTTTCATTGTCGTATGTTGTTATTAATCATGATTTCAAACTAAATATGCTTCTCTTAATGTTAATTAATATTTCACCGTATTCACCGAAAAAAATATAAAGCTTGACAATAGCCTGTACTATTTATAATATATGAATAATTTATGTTACAAAATTTTATATATACGCGGATCATGGGAATGTAGAAATAAATTAAATTAATTAAGATATATACTACACGCATGCTCTCAACATCAAATAAAGATATGTTGGAGCTTTATCTCCACCTTTTCCATAATATATATATATATATATATATATTGGTTATGAAAATAATAAAATTTAAATATATATCTTTTTGGCCTGAACTCTAAATATCACTTTAAACTTATAAAAATAGTTGTGTACTTTATTAAATAAATTTTCGTAGATGCGGAAGTAGTTATAAAAGGCAGATACAAACTTAGCAATTCGGAGAAGGAAAAAGTTTGTAAAGGTTCCCGGTATGTAAATTAATTATCAACTCATCATCTAAATTTGACTTATTAGTAACTAGTTACTTGAAGACCCTTGCAAAAATAAATAGGATAAACTATAAATTTATAAATTTAACTTGTAAATATTGCAATAGAATTTGTAAAAAAATTAATTTTGTAGTTTAGAGTTTAACAATTTTTTTTACAATTTTTTTATATTTACATGTCAAACTTAAAAAAATCACAATTTTTTTTAAAATATTTATTAGTAATAAGTTATATTTGAAAAACCTATTAATAATTAATTTTATAACGTGTTAGTATTTATTTGTAATATTTTCCTTTTGGAGACTATATCATGGATCCTAAAATGTGCTTGTTCTAGAGAGATTGGAGGCTGGGAGCTTTTTCACACTCCGTCACTTTGGTCTTTTGCTTTTTCGGCCTTCACCCCACTTTCTGATATTGCCAAAGTTGTTTATCTGCCAAAGGTCTCGTGCACGCAGTTTCACTTCCTTCTTCTTCATCTTCATATCCTCATCATCATGCTCCTTCTCTCCTCGTCATGCCACGTGTTCTCACGAATTTTTATAAAACACCAAGGGTATTATCGTCCTCAAGCCCACCATATTGCAGACCCCACCATACCCTACCCCTTTAAAGACCTCCTCGGTTCCATTCAGCTAAAGACAAACAGCATTTCGTCACCTTCCATTATAACCCCACCCTTCTCTCTCTCTCTCTCTCTCTCTCGCGTATAAGCAGTGTGCTCTGCAATCTGCATTCTGTAGTACTACTCTCTCTGTAAATCCCATCCCAGCCACCATTAAAGCTTTGATATTTCTTCATCCACTGAGCTTTGGATCCCAAAAACCTCTCAGTCGCCATGCTTTAGGTTTTTTGATTGAAAAGGAGGAACTTTAATGGAAGTAGAGAGACCCCATCATCGCAATAACAGCAGCGAGCTCTTCATCTGCTTCACCTCTCGCTTGTCCTCCTCCTCATCCATGAAGCTCTCGTCAAAGTCCATTCTCAGCCCAGGTCGCAGCAGAGAGCCGTCTCAGATTTCTCTATCCACCTCTCTCAGCAGAAGGCTCAGAAACAGTGGTAGCATCAAGGGTGGTAATGGCCAAGCCTCTCCGATGTTCCCGACGACCGGAAAGAAGAGAGGATGTGCGTTCGAAAACCCAGAACCATCTTCGCCGAAAGTAACATGCATCGGGCAAGTTCGAGTGAAGACGAAGAAACAGGGGAAGAAGATGAGGGCGAGGTCAAAGAAGAGAAGAGGAGAAGCAAGCTTTCGAAAAGCAGAGCCGGGGTTTTCAGATCTTCAGAATTTGCAGCAAGAGGCGGGGCTGACTCATCGGAGCCAGAGATGGGTTCATCTGCCACTGACGATTTGTGAAGCTTTGAGGGCGTTCGGGGCTGAGTTCAGCTGTTTATTTCCTTGCAGGTCTTCTTGTGGGAGGGAGAAAGACGATGAGAAGATGGGGAAAGGAGAGGGATCTGGTGGAGGACAGAGCAGGGAGGGTTCTTGTGGGGCAGCATTTGCGAGATGGTTGGTGGCTTTGCAAGAAGGAGAAGCTAAGGGCAGAGAGATTGAGTTGGTGGTGGGTGAAGAGAATGAAGACGACGATGATGATAGAAAGGATGATAGCCCAGAGAGAAGCAGAAGAAGACACGTGTTTGAAGATATTGAGATCGATATGGAGAAGAAACATGAGGATGAAGATAAGGCGAGGGTGAGTATATGTATTCCGCCAAAGAATGCTCTTTTGTTGATGAGGTGCAGATCTGATCCTGTGAAAATGGCTGCTCTTGCCAATCGGTTCTGGGAGTCACCTGCTCCGAAAGATGAAGATGAACGAGATGAAGAACTACAACAAGACGACGACGACGAACAAGTACACATGGAAGAAGGAGAAGAACAGGGAAAAATTCTAGTTCCAGCAGTGGAAGAAGAGGGCAGCATTTGTGAAGAAGCCAATGAAGAGCGAGAAATCCCAGAAGCAGAAACGGAAGCAGAAGCAGAATCACTTTTAGAAGCTTATGAATTTGAAATCCCAACAATCCCAGAAATTAGTAAAGTTGCTGAAGCAAGTGGAGAAAAGCCAGAGGTTGAAGAAGAGCAAAAAACGGAAAACGAAGTTGAAGTTGAAGACGGTAATGGCAATCAGAAAGACGAAAACTGCTTGTGTGATTTTTCGCCTGAGGTTATATCAGATCTCGAAAAACCAGAACTGGAAGAGGTTCGTGAAGAGAGACTGGAGGAGAAGGAAAAAGGCAAAGATTTTTGTAGCAACGAACAAAATATCTCAGAACCTGCTTCGTCGTCACCGCCTGTAATTTCTGTAGCATCAGAATCAGAAAACAATGAAGAAGCAGTTGCAATTTCGGTGACGCCTGAAACATCAGCACAAGAAGCAACTGTGGAGTCAACGGAAAAGGAAGAAGGAGAGAAAGAGACCAAAGAGGAGCCTAGGGAAGACGAATCGACGGCGACCCAATATAGATCCGACGCGGAAGACCCGAAACCCAAAGAGCAGAAACAGGGTCCGGTTCTACCCGATTGCTTGCTGTTGATGATGTGCGAGCCGAAGCTATCTATGGAGGTGTCGAAGGAGACGTGGGTGTGCAGCACGGACTTCGTCCGGTGGCTGCCGGAGAGGCCGGCAAAGAGAAAGGACGGTGGGGATGAGCCCAAGAAGAGGATTAGCATCGACGCCAAGCCACCGCTGGCACCGCCTCAGCTGATGCAGCCACCAAGATCGTCGTGTTCGTTTCCGGCACCGGCGGCTCACGGCGGAGGGATGTCAATGGCGAGCATGATAGAGCAAAAGCTGGTGGGGTCCAACGCCTACGAGCCATTCGTTTTGACTCGTTGCAAGTCGGAGCCGATGAGGTCATCGGCGAAGCTGGCGCCGGACGCTTGTTTCTGGAAGAACAGGAAGCTGGAGACGCATCACCGTCCGGCTCCGCTCGGCGTCGGCACTGCTGGGGTTGGATTTTGATCTCAATTCTTTTTCTTTTTCTTTATCTTTATCTTATTATGAAAAATAATCTAGAAGGTATGATTCCGTAGATTATTGGACAAGGTTTGGAATCACAGTCATCATGAGGTTTACCGCCTCTGGTTTCCCTTGTAAATTTATCAGTGATTTTCTTTTTCAGGTAATTATTGTTCGGGACTGTACGTGTTTATTTTTTTCTGAGCCATTTAACAAAATTGAAGATGTCTACTTTTTCGTCCCTTGTCAGTGGCCCATAGTCTACTAATATCTCAATTCTCAATTATGAATTTACTGACCGGTCAAAAAACTTGGGTGTTTATAAGCTCACTGCAACCAAATGGTTCTGGCTCAAATAGCATTTTCAAAATTACTTATAGGATAGTTTCTAATAATTTTTTGTGAACACTCGAGGATAGTTCAAAGAATAAATTAAAGTGATAAACAAGCCAATTAGGGTTGGTCTAAGATTTGATTCATAATTTATAAGGTTGTGAGATGTAAGGTAAGGTTCTTTTTAGTAGATGATTTGTGAACATTTTTTAAAATACTCCGAGTCTAAAATTATATCTCGTGCTAGTGAGTTCTTGAGGTTTAATTCGCTTGAACTGTTGTTTGCCAGAAAGAAGTGATGAACAAGATGGGGCGTGTATGTAATAGAAGAAAAAAAGAGTAGTAATCAAAGTGGAGGAGTAGTTTTGTAGAAGACGCTGGAAAGAAACAGAAGAGGACAAAAGGAGGTGGTTGGGTTAACAGGAAAAGGATAAGAAGAATACGAAATTAATTGAAAAGGAAGGAAGGGAGTGAGGGAAAATATTTGGGAAAGGGCAGACACAGTTAACGTTGTTTGGTGTCTGGGTTGTCTGCGGTTTGTTTGTACTCTCTCTTTAGTTTATCCATCCTAATCTCAATTCTCTCTTTTTGGCTTGCTTTATTTATTTTTTCAGAAAAGATTCTTTTTTTTATTAAAATAGAATGTATGTGTTGTGTCATCAGACCTCAGTCACTCACTAAAACTATACTTTCATCTTACCAACAACAGTTTCAAATTCACATTAAAATTTGAACTCATAATTTAATACATTATGGGTTAAAATTCTTATCAACTGGATGAATTAAAAAAAAAAATTGTGTATGATGAGTTTCTTTCACAGTTTTTAAATTGTGTATGATGAGTTTCTTTCATAGTTTTTTTTTTTTTAGGTCCATCTGGTATGTATAAAAATGTGACAAAGTGATAAATATTTTATAAGATAAAACCCAAAAAAAAAAAGTTGTTGTTTGAACCATTGCCCCTTTTTTGACTAATTTTTCTTTCATTGTTTTGATTTATGATCAATACTTGTATACATTTCTTAATTTCAAGGTCAATTTTTTTAAAAAAAAGTACATTTGATTATTACTTATTTTTAAGAAAAAGTAGTCTTCATACTTTATGTAAAATTTTAGCTTGAACCTTTAAATATTTAAAATATCTTTTCATTTATTAAATTCTAATATTGTTGGCCTCAAATAATTATTTTTTATGTTAATCATTATTATTTTTTTAAAAAATTAATCTTAAAATATAAATATTTGAGAATATTTTATCATTGTTCTTGTTAATAAAACTAATGGTGTTAAAATTAGTGAATTTTAAAAAAAATACTCTATAAAATTAAGAGACTAAATGTATACTTATGTAAAATTAATGGAGGGTTAATGAGTATCCTAGACTTCAAATTATTGTATGAATAATATTATGAATTCGAAACTCTTAAAATATTTAAAAATTTCTTTTAATTTTAAATTTTGAGCATTTCAAAGCTTGTCATTAATTTGTAGAAAATGGAAACTACTCTTGTAGATGTGAGACCCAATCGCATATGAATGTGACACTCATTTTGATTTTTAAAGATAATAGACTTTTAAAGATAATAGCCATTTTCTCAAATCTAACAGTAGAGTTTCAAGCATTCAAAATTTAAAAATTGAGAAGAGTTTTTATACATTTTAAAAATTTAATACCTAACATATTATTTATATAATAGTTTAGAATTTAAGAAATCAAATATATACTTTTTTTTTTAAATACATGAGTGAACTAGTGCTTGAATTAGCTACGGAAATTTGACACACAACTTATCAGTGATAAATTTTATTCCGCTGAGCCACACGGCTTTTGGTAAAAAAATAAAAAAATAAGAAGGGCATACGGCTATTAGTACGCACTAGTCAGACTATGAAAATAATAGCTTTGATATTAAGAAAATGAAAATGATAGCGTTAGTTCGTACTTACACCAAAACTTCGTAAATTCATTTCTCGGGAATATTTAATTCGTACACAGTTTGTTTTCGTGCGGGTTAAAAGGTACTCATCAATTTTAATCAAAGTACTGACAAATAAAAACAATAATGGTCGTTAAATCAATCGAGATTATAATTTATAAATTAGTGATCTAATTTACAATGAACTGAAAGCTAAATTAATCATAATTAAAATAATATATTTTAATTTAAATATTAAAAAAATCTATTTTTAATTATGAAAACAGTAATGTATAAAAAAGTGTTTAATTTTTAAGTGAATGGCAAATCCATCTATAAAATTTTATATATGTCTTTTATAAATATTAATTATAAGTTTTTAACAGTAATAAATTACAATAAAATTAAAAAATATTGATAAAGGAATTTAGTTTGATTTAAAAAATATTGATAAAGGAATTTAGTTTGATTTTGGATTCAATATTTAGAAGATGAGAGGAATAAAAGAAGAAGAAAATAAACTCGGGCTTATGGGTTTTTTATAAGAGCTTCTAGAGTTATGAGATCCTAACTATGACAAACCTGTACTCGAACTTCACCCCTTAAACAACATGTTTATTATAGTGAAAAATATTTGGTACCAAACAATTAGTACATTTTACGATTGCACCGTATGAATTGAACATATATACGTGTATGTGTGTATATGTGTGTGACATTTGACATTTTTAAAATTATTTTTTTCCTTGATAAATTTTGCTTCCCATTTCATTCTTTTTTGCATACCAGACAAGACCTTCCTCAGGATCATTGATCAAACAAAGTATCAAACACATTAGATGTGAGAATTGAATGAGAGAATGGAGGGGCGTTGTGTTCGGTAAGATTTTAGAAAGTGAGGCTTTGACTTTTTACAGAGAAGTAATTAAGAATTTTCACGGATAGTCAACATTAGGTATGAAGATATTGTTTTTAATTTTGAGATAGCAGGCGAGCAAATTGTACTTGAATAAAACAACCCTGGATTTTTCTTTTTTTATAAAATCTATGTTTCGAGGACTCTTTGGGATTTGAAGATACGGTAAGAATTGAGGGGTTGAATCATGCTAAAAGAATTTCAATGGTGTAGTTTTCTTTTATTTTCTTTTTTTAAACAGGGGGCTTCCTTGTTCTAGATTGAGATGTAGTATGGTTTTATGATGTATTTTTTTTATTGCACACATGTGCATGTATTTTTTTATTTAAGATAATCTTATTAAAAATATAATCGAATATTAAAGATAAGCATATTCTTTGATAATAATTTAAACATTAATCTATTATGTTGTGAAAAAAATACTTTGTTTGGTGAGTCTCAATTGTATTTTGTTTGCACTCATTTGCATAGTTTTCATTTTTAATTTTTTGCTCAAAGCATACTTTGAAATGCCGTACTGGAAAAGCAGGGTACTACAATCACATTCCCAAGACATCAAATCCTATGCTTTGATTGGAAGGGTCATCTTTAAGATCAAGTGACATCTTTCTTAAAAGTAACCTCACAAATTTTTGGGTATCTTCACGAATCCTAGGTAGATTATATATTCGTCAATCAATGATAATCACATCATGTTATAAATATTACAGGATTCATTCCCAATGTGGCTTATGTTGATTATTAGAATCAGTTAAATTAGACTAATAACAATTCATCAACATGAATGATGGTACAAGTGGCAAAAATTTTGGGAGAACTCTCCTGATCAATTATGTGTGTGAATTCAAATCCTTCTAAAATCATTCAAAGCTTATTAGTGTATGCTTAGTGTCTAATTATGTAGCCGTAGCTAGATAAGATTGCTTATGTTCGAAGCATAAGCAATTAATTTCTAGGGTTAAGCCTATATACTCGTATGCCTAATGCATGCCCGTAAGAAAGACCCTTTCTAATAGAACTGAGAGTGCCTCCTTTTTTTCCAAAAAGAAAAAAAAGTAGCCCTAACAACCTAATTATTTTCTATATAAAAAGTAAACACACACGTAACATGTGATGGGGATAACAAAGTGTTGACACCTCCTTTGTTTTTTGATCACAAGAAGCAGCCTGTAGAATTGAACACTTGATCTGACCCCAGTGAAATAGTATTACTAGTTTACTACTGGACCACAAGGTTATTGCCTTATTGGCAATATCCTTCTTTTCTTAGTCCTTCTGTCAAGAGGAAGACTAACAAGAAACTATATCAACACGTTGAGTAGCTTAATTTACCATATATTGTTTGCCAATGATTTACTTCATAATTAATCATAACAATATTAATCGTTCCCAAAATTTTATGTATTTTCTTGCTTTGTAAGATACAAGACAACAATGAAAAACAAGTACAAATTACGCTTATATATGTAATAGCTATTTAGACTTTGAATTGTTAGAATTTTACATTAATCATAAATTACACTTTGGATTGTTTTGGGAGGACTCATGTCACACTTATATGGTTGTGCATTAATTTTCTGATCACTCAATGTGAGACTACCATATATCTAATAATAAGAATTGAAGTCTTTTATTATATAATTGACGATCTTTAAATAATGTATTCCTATAAATCTATCAAATATACAAATGAAGGTGATTTAAAACAAAGACCAAGACAAATGGGGCATATATGTAGGTCGTTGGACTTTTTTGTTGTTGACCAGCTTTCTCATTGGACTTGAAAGTTGAAATTGCAGTCTTTTAGGCAGCTTCTTCTTGGATTTACAATGTTTTCTAGTTTGAAGAATAAATAAATATTTAACTTAAAATTAACAGCTAGAACTCACACTCACCTTTTTACAAGTTTCACCAGCTCTTTCAAAATCTAGAGTTTAGATCCTTTCAAGCAGATAAAAAGATATGAAATTAAATTAAACTAAATTGTATATTTTAAATTAAAATATATGCCTGTATAACTTTAATAAGACTCATAAAAGATTGATACATTTTCTATTTATTAAAAATCAAGAAATTGGC